GAGTCTAAGTATAGTGAACTAAGCTCATAATAGAATTAAAATTGCTTACTTACACCATCTTTAATAAGTCTTACTCTAATGACCTTTTGAAACAATTGATACTTCCGAAACAACCTTCACCAATTCTCCATAAAACTTCTAAACCAGTATTGATACCCTCAACTATATGGTTATAAAATGACCTCCAATCAGCCTAGGAAACATAAACATAATTTTCACCCTTATTCCTAGAACTAACACTCATTTGTGATTTTTTAAGCATATTCCTCCAATTGATCTTATTTGAACATTGTACTCACGTTAGGAGAAGATATATCACTCCCAAAGTTTTCTAAGTGTTTCCTATAATTTAATATAGCCCTTTCTGTACTAAGTCATGTTTTCCTAACAATGCCCCAATTTAACTTGTCTACATATAATAAATGAAATCTCTACACTTTGTTGTTTTTCAAATGTTTGGGCAGCCCGAGGAATCCAACATACAACATAAAATTAACCTAATATGAAGCAAACTTTCTGTCTACTAAAAATCCACCTAGCCTGCACTCTGTTCGAATGAAACATGTTCCATTCAAACGGACTCTGAGGTATTGTAACCTATCACACTTTCAAAGCTTATTTTTACCTAGTTAGATGTTGATTCACAAAAAATTCATGAATTAAATTTTTGTACCCATTGGAGCCTACTTTCTAATGCCATAAAAATTAGTTCAATTGGAGTTTGGAGTAAAAATATAGCCTACCCACTAAGGTAGTGTCCACTTTTTTCCTACCCAAATATGTCAAATATAAGTTTTAAGCCCAATACACCTCAATTCACCTAACCCAAAGTTTGTAGACCTTTGGATTCAACGGTAGAATGATTTCGACCTAAAAGAATTTAGAAACTTACCTAGTTATCCTTCTCAAGGTTAAATACTTTCGAAACTAAATTTGACCCGAAAGTCAATAAGTGTAAAACTCAAACTTCATGATTTAACTTTCAATAATGACTTAAAGTTTCTTCCATCATTTTATTCATATGAGGATAGCTCTTAAGATGATATTATTCTTATTTAATTATAATACAGAGTCTTAGACAAGTCCTACCACGATGGTAGATGACTTGGATGTTGAGAACTCATCAAGTGAGGATGACACCTATAGTATTGAGGACATACATGAGGCCTAAGACCATTTGTGTGAAGATTTCCTCAAACTTAACAAGAGAGTGCCTACTTTGAGCTTAAGGCTCAAAGCAAATGAAGAGGAGAAACAAGTACTTCATGTGGACTTGGTAAAATCCAAAGCTCATATTTGTGGGTTTGAGAAGAGAATAAGTCTTTAAAGGACAAAGTGAGCTTTTTAGAGAGTGAATATCATGGGTTTGTCAAGTCAACAAAGATTCTAGAGTTTAAGGTGATAAAACTTGATAGATACCTTCACAAATCACAAGAACTATCTAAGAGACTATACATAAGGTCAAAAAAGCTTGACAAGATATTGTGTATAGGGAATAATTTTGGTGAAAAAAGAGGTTTGGGCTATACACATAAGCACACCACTTTCACTCCTTCCAAGACCATGTTTGTGAAGGTAATCCCAACCCATTACCCCCCCCCCCCCTATGAACACAAGTCACCCTAAGGAAAAAAATTGTAAGGTAAGAAAACTTAAAGAAGTCAGTTGTCAAAGAACCCTTAGACAAATAATTCGTGTGTTTCACATGTGGAGAATGTGGTCACTATGGTGCATATTATATGCATAATAGGGATGTAATCTCTAAGAATCTCATGTTTCTAGCTAAGCAATCCAAGGCCCTGAAAGACCAAGTCATACATCTTATTATGCTAATGGATAGGTCATGTGAGTCTAAGCCTAGAAATTCTTCACCGCCTAAAGGCTCACAAGCTAGGATAAAAAAAATACTTCTTATTCTCTCAATATTAAAATTGACTTGAAGGCTTTTGGATATAAGAGAGTTAGTCCACCACTCATTCCCTGATCTAACCCTAAAGATAAGGAAAAACAAGTGTGGGTGAGTAGTAATTTCTCACAGATACAAACAAAACTAATGACCCATAGATCTAAAACCCTTGGTTTAATTTTAGACTTAGGATAATTAGGTTAAAATGGATTTAGAAATTATCCGTGAAAGACTCTTAGTTTTTCATGAAAAAGATTTTCTAAACTTTAAATATGTTTTGAAAACATAGAAAGAGTCATGTATTGGACTCTATTTGAGCAACATCCTTCGGTACTCAATAGGTTAAGTTTTTTCAATTGGGTTTCTAGCTTAAAAACCAATACAAATCGGCCTATGCTCACTTTTCTTTGGCTAAAGTGGTCTTTGAAAACTTAGGTATTGAATTGGGAAAGGCTTTTTTCATTGTTAGGATCGTATTTGTAATTGACTAATTTTGTGTAATTTTTTTAAAAATCTCAATATATTCCATGGTTATGATGCTACAATACCAAAGATTCGAAAGCTTCAAATGAAGGAAGGAGTACAAGTTACAATGAAACATCAAAGACTGTCCGTATGCACCTTCATGCTTAAAATAAAGATAATGACCTTAGAGACCTTCACACCCTTTGTTTGAATTTAGACCTAGGTTGGTGAGGTTAAAATGAAATCAATGATTGATTCGTTAATGACTCCAGGGTGTTCTTCAAAGAAAATTTTTTCTAAACCTTTTATTGAATTTTGAAAACGTAGATTTGAGTGGGAGTGGAGATTACCCCACTTGAGCAACACCTTTTAATGCTCAAGTGGACAAGTTTTTTTGCTTAGTTTCTAACTTTAAAACCATTAGAAACTGCCCTTTACTCATTTGTCTTCAGCTAAAGTGATCTCTGAACACTTAGGGATAAAAATCGAGAAAGCTAAATGAGTGGTAATGGAGATCGCCCTCTGGTTCACTCTTAGGATGCTCGAGCGATCTTGAGACGACTCGACTGGTCCTGAGGTTGCTCTTATGTTGTGGTTTGATTTCTTATCTCATTAATCTGTAATTTTTTTACTCACGAATTTTTGTTTATTTAGTCCCTAAGATAAACTTTATTTTGAGCCTATAAATAGAAGGAATCTTCCCAAACTAAGGTATCTCTTTTGTGAGTAGATCCATAAGATTCAAAGGAGAAACCCACCTTGATTCTCTAATCCAAACTCAAACCTTGGAGAAGAATATCTAGATTGGGAGATCCAACTAAACCCATTAGAAAGTATGCATACCAGGTGTCTTGGGTGTATCCTAGAATTGCTTAAGGTCTAAACGAACTATGCGGCAGGGAGTTCAAATAAAACTATCCATAATATCCATGAGTGTATCTGGTGGAGAGGTTTATTAAAAAAAAGAAAATGTCTAACCATTGTTTTCTTTTGATTATAGAGTCTCATCAACATGATTGAATGAAACTTTATTTGATAACCAAAAGAAAAAAAAATTGAAGTTAAATAAATGTGAGGAAAGCTTGCCAAAAATTCCCTCTAATTTGATTTTTAGATTCAAACCTACTCACAACCGCAAACAAAAAATACCAAACAAAACCCACGATGATGCCATTCAGAAGGTGCATGCTTGTTCGGTGGATAATTCTATAGTGACCAAAAAAAAAATAGGATAAAAATTTGAACTAAATAATGTGACACTAGAATAATGATATTTCTAAGAATATTTTCAATAATTTAAAAGTTAAATTTTACTTATGACACATTATTTGTGCTTTAATTCTGATTATATTTTTTTTAGTTAATATAGCATCACCCTTTTTCCACACAATCATTTGTCCCAAAACACGAATATAGCCAAAAGGAGTAGTCCTAACACCCTATGGCGAATTCCTTCTTTTACTTATTCTTTCTCCTTACGTAATTGTATTTTGGTCAGCCATTTGGGAATTCCCTCCTAACGAAGGACACGTATTTAGCAGGTCCAAGCTACCCTACATGTGTAAACCACATTGCCATAGATCCTATAACAGTAAGGTCATACCTGCCCTTGCAAGAAAATCATCGGGACTAAAATTGTCAATAAAAGTTAGGCTCTGTCTTTGCAACGGTGATATCACCTTAATATTATTATGTAATATTATCAATTAATAATATATAAATAAATAAATTATACACAAATTAATAACTATATATTTATGTAAGTTAATAATTACTCTTTTTTTTCATATAAGTTAATAATTATATAAGTGAAATTTACCTTACCTATTTAATATTTTATTATTAATTAGTAATATTATATGACAATTTCAGCTACGATTGAAGTCATGAAAGATTTTAAGATTTTTAATCTATATCTTCAAACAAAAAAAATTATATTATAATTTTAATGTATTAAAAGTATTATAATGTGATATTTTTATTAGCTTTCATTATTTTTTTATTAAAAATTAATTCATTGATACTGATAAAAAAAAAATTAATAAAAAGGTTATATTATAATATTTTTAATATATTTAGAATAAAATATAAAAAAATAAATTTTTAAGATACAAACTGAGACCCTTGATATCTTTCCAGGTACAAAATACAATTCTCCCAATGTATATTACAATAGTCAATAGACTATTGTGCTCATGACGACATTGGCGTAGCAAAATTGTAGAGACAGAAAGCAAGAGTCAAAGCAAAAAGGAGGAGCAGAGCAGCAGTTGTTGGAGTATTTGTATTTGTATTTGTAATGATTTCGTGCGGGAAGATCATTTGCTCGTGACCAGAATTTTTATTTTTTGCAGAAGCAGATCACCAGACCCAGAGGAATTTACAGTCTTCAGCTTCGTCTTTTCCTTCTATCTCTCTTCCTCTCTCTCCCTCCTCTCTTCTACCAGTTCTCTCTTTTACGTATCTGAATATTCCCCACGTCCTTGCTTTAAACCTAAACAGTTCCAACGGCATTGCCTAAAAAAGCAGCTCTTTGAAAAGGAGAAAACAAAAGAGTCTCTCGTTGAAGCCGATATGGAAAGGTTTTGTTAAGTGGTTTTAGGGAAGAGCCAAGTGGTTCCAGCTGATAAAACTTCAAGAAGAAGAGAAAAGGAGGGTTTTTAGGGAAGACCCAGGTGGTAAAACTTCATCAAAGACTCAAGAGGAGAAAAGGAGGGGCTTTCGAGAAACCCAGTTGGATTTGAGGTGATTTTGGCGAGAAACATAGGGAGGAAGATAGAGGAAAATGGGTGGTTGTGAGAGGAATGGAGCTGTGAGGCAGTATGTAAGATCAAAGGTGCCTAGATTGCGATGGACACCTGATCTACATCACTGTTTTGTACATGCCATCGAAAGGCTTGGAGGCCAACACAGTAAGTTCTTCATGTTTCTGTCTTAAGGTTTTGCTAGGTTGCTCTTTTGTTTAGGCGGATCTATTCGTTTGTCTCAGTCAAAAAACCTCTCTTTTGCTCTTGGTCATTGTGCTATTATTTTCTCTTCTCTTATACAATCCCACAGAGTTTTTCTTAATTCTTTCATGCTTCCGTTTGGATTATTTCCTTTTCCCCGTTGTTATTTAAACAGATGGATGTGTGTTTCTGTTTTCTATTTTGTAGAAGCTACACCCAAGCTTGTTCTTCAGTTGATGAATATTAGAGGAATCACCATTTCGCATATCAAAAGCCATCTCCAGGTTCGGATTTTCCTTTCATTATCTTGTGTTGTGGACTTTTTTTTCTTTTTTGGTAACTTAAGGTTCAAATTTCCGACAAAAATATTCCTACTCTAATTTTTCCTCTTCATAAATTGTTCTTTTTGGTTTTTTTTTATTTTTATTTTCTCTTTCTCTGATCTTCTCTCTCTTTTCGTTATTTGTGTTCTTTTTGTTCCAAACAGATGTATAGAAGCATGAAGGGCGATATGACCAGACTAGGTATCCAAAGTTTACCTTTCGTTCTATAGTCCATACATGTGCATCTGTGTGTTGGTTTGTGTATTTTCAAAATCCTCCTTTTGCCCAGCAAACATAAACACTTGTTTTCTTAACATTTTATTTTTATTTCAATTTCCTCCTGTCAATGAACATAGAGTTGCATTAATCAACCATATGTTTATTGTCTGATCTCTTCTTCACTTATCTTTGGAAATAAGTTGCTGCCTCACTACATTTATTATTCTTTCCCTATAAAGCTATTTTTAACCAAAATAGATGATTTCACATATTCAAACCAGTAGTACCCTTTTAGATCTTCTAGTATTGGCATTTCTCATGAAACCCATAACCTCAATCTCAAATGATTAGTTTTACCAATGTTCTTTGAATCAATACATTGTAAAGTGATGTGCCCCATTTACATTCTTTCATTTGTCAAAACACACACACACTCTCACGGTCTCACCTCGCACAAGAGCATGCCCTTCTAGACTTTAACACCTTTATTGTCACTTTGTTCTTTGTTTTTGTCTCAACCACCAGATAGTAGTACCCATCGGAAAAAACAATATCTCGAAGATCATCAAGGTGGGTGCGTTGATCAAGAAAATATTGTGGGTTATCATCAATCTCTGAAACCCGTTATAGAATCAGATTCTAAGTTCATATCCGGTCCTCTAGCAACAAAAAGGTAGGCTTAGCCTCAGCCCTTGGATTTCATTTCACAATCTCAAATCTCAAGAAAAGTTATACCAAGAAACAAAAGGATATGCATTTACACCTGCATTATATTTTCTTTTGCCTTTTGGGTATAATGTTCTTTTTGTTTCATATGAACTATCCTCAGTGCTCGAATCGAGATGACGAGTTGTATTGCTGAGAATCTGCAGTGCAGCCAAATAATATCTGAGACGGTGACGAATCCGTACCACTTTGATGATTATGTGCAGACTATTGTTGAGAAAAGTGGCATAAAGGAGAGGGAAAAGAGGGGTTTCAGGTGGCAGACCCACGAAGAAGCTCCAATGTCTAGAACAGCCTTCTCTCTGCCACATGATCTCTTACATATCCTCGGTCCTGTTCGCAAAGGAGGTCCAGTGGGAGAATCTGATGGCCTCAAGGTACAACAGTTCTTGCCCCTCTCCCTCTCCCTCTCTCTCTCTCTCTCTCTCTCTTCACACACACACACACACACACAAACTTATTCCCTTTGAACAGCTTTTGGAACGTGGTCTGGTTGAGAATAATGTTAATCTTATAGGACAGTCCTATAAGTTTCAACTGTACTCATGTGGCATGCTTTTTCTTTGTCTAAATTCGCTGGAGGGTGCTTGCATGACCCAACGATACATGGGGATCTATGCCTTATCGGTATGAGCCGTCTTACATTTTGAGATTACGATAACGAAGGAGATATTGTACCAACTTACAATTATTTTTGGATTAAAACAGCATTTTTCTTATTTCTTATTAAGTGATCATAAATTTTTTTAAATCAAGTTATGATGAAAAATATTATGATCGATATGAATAACCCCACGTTCTTAAAAGCTTGCGAGATTGAGTGTTAATATCACTCTTATTCTATAATAATTTTGGTGCAATATCCTAGTCTTAGTCTTACCCTACTTTGTAGCTAAGCACTGCAAACACTTAGAAAGATAAATAAGAAAGTTTACATATGCTGCCTACCTTTTCTTTGCCTTGTCTTACAGAATGAGAATTATGATGATTGAGAAATACTTACATTTATATAATGGTTATTGCACAGTTATTTTACGGATTTTTATAGAATGTAGGTTTTCAATCTTTTTTGCTGGTAATCATTGAATTGATTATGAATTATAATATTTAATGGAACCTATTTTTAATCCAATAATTATAATTAATTATATATTCAAGTTAAGTTTTTGAATTAGATACAAATAGTGTCCTTTTTTTTTTTTTTTAACACAGAACACACGTTAGGAAAGTACTTTAATGCGGGTAGTTGAGCATCCCTTTTAGTCTTACTTTTTTTTACTCCTTCAGAATTGAACTCTTGATAATCTTTTTCTCCCTGTAAGTAATATTTTTTTGGCTCAAGTTAAAAATTTTTGGGTCAATTTACCTTTAAATAGGATCAAGTAACAACCAAAAAAAAAAAAATCAAAGTCAATATCAAATAACTTCATTTTGTTGTAAATTCATATCCTATTAATATTTTATAGTAACAGAATTGAAACATAAAGGATAAATTTCAATGATATTTCCTGAATTTAAGTTATATTTTGTTGACATCTCCTGTAGTTTTTGAAATGTCACTATATACTCCTATCAGATTTTACTTACTAACAGACCTAACAAAATACGAAACTCTCATTTTACTTAATTATCCTTACTCAAATTAATACAAAATTAATCCATAATTTTATCAAATTAATATCAAATTGACCTTTAATTTTGTTTGATTCATATTCAATTAATATTTAATTTTATCAAATTAAAACTCAATTTCATCAAATTAGCACCAAATTAATATTAAATTTTATCAAATTAACATTAAATTTTTTCAAATCAACATTCATATTCATCAAATTAACATTCATATTCATCAAATTAACATTCAACTTATCTAATTAACATTCAATTTTATTAAACTCATACCTCATTAATATTCAATTTCATGAAACTAATACCAAATTAACATATTTTATCAAAATCACATTAAACTTCATCAAATTAACTATCAAATTAATATTCAATTTGATCTAATTAACTCCAAATTAACTATCAATTTATCAAATTAACATTAAGTTTCATAAAATTAATACAAGATTATACCAAATTAAAGTAAAATTGATCTAAAATTTTATAAAATTGTCATTTTATTTCAAAAAATTAATATTCAATCTCATCAAATTGATATTTAATTTTATAAAATTAACACCAAATCAATATTCAATTTTATCAAATTAACCTCAATTTAACATTCAATTTATCAAACTAACATCATTTTTTTGATTAAATTTCAAATTATCATTCAATTTCATCAAATCAATACTGAATGGTCATTCAATTTTTTAAATTTAATATTTGGTTCTATAGAATTAATATTATTTTTTAAAATGAACACCAAATTAACATTTTGTTTGATACATTTTTTTATAGAAAACATTCTATTTAATCTAATTAGTATTTAATTTAATTTAATTAATATTAAAATGATGTTTGCTACTACTTTAAACTTATTTTATACGATCAAGAATAAATTTGATAATTCATAAGAGAATAAACCATCACATCACACTTTTTGCATTTCATGATGACAGTAGAAGGCAGGAGTAATTTATAAAACGTGTATATAAATTATAAGAGTGTGTAGTGATATTTTAGAAATTAAAAGAGGTGTCAGTGCTATATAAGTTAAATTTAGGAGGTATCAATGAAATTTATCCAAAAATAAACGTTAATAGTTTAATCCTACCTGCTCTTTCCGGCTGGTTGGTTCCAGATGAAAATGGCTATGGTGCTTTGACTAGACAAATACCCAACATGTGGTCCACTCTAGTTTTTCATCAACAGGACTTCTAGGGATCCAGAATGGTCCTTTAGTGCATGAGAGCTGTACAATGGGTATGTAGAAATAGCAGTGTCTTTATGGTAGTAGGCCACCTCATTCACACGTAATAGGTTTATAGGGCTCCTGTTTCATCTAGTAGTTTGTCTTCTTTCTATGTTAACTTTGAAATTTTTCAGAAAGGTTAAAAACAAAAATAATAATAGGAATGCTATGGATGCCTAATTTGTTAATCTAAGTTAATATAATCTTTAAATTAATGATAGATCCTAAAATATTGAAATTTAATGTTAATCTAATACTTCCTTTATTGCTACATCATTAAATAAACAAATTTAATCAAATTTTTAAATTTAAATAACATTACTTAAACAATAAGGAGATATCATTTCTTTTTGTTTAAGCAATTGAGATATTGGGTCTCACATAGCAATTGAAGGGGTGAGAGTTTTATATTCAATTATCGTTGTTGGGATTTATATTCTAAGTATCTTTGTATTTCTTGATATGTTTTTTTTGGGAATATAAAATGTTCTCGTCCTCATCTTAGTTGCAGCTTTCGTCTATTTCTACTTTTTCTCTCATTACTTATCCATCTATGGATTTATATCTTGATTACTCATATCTAGTCTTATCTGAGCTCTTATCTATGGACCATCTAGAGGCTTCTTTCCTACCGGTTGATCCTCCACTTCTTGTTGATATTCATCTCCAACTCATCTGCAGCGTCATTGCACTTGGGTAAAGAAATATAATACAAACATATCTACATTACCAATAATTCTGCCTGTATAATTGCAAAACTATGTAGCCAAAAACAGTTTAGGCTGCCGATTTAAGACTTACTTTTTGGTACGGTAATCAAATGGTTAGAAAATAAAGTTGAAATTTTAATTAAATCTTGTGAGAGTACTACAAAATAAGTTATTAGAGTTAGTTGTCACTTTGGGCACCAAAGTAGTACCATTTTGTGTTTATGTATTCGCAAACTTTATACACTCATAGCGTGTGCCTATCATGACTATCACAAAAAAAAACGTAAAATAAGATTCAAGGAGGGAAAGTAATAACTTATTGTAAGTATTGCTTTCAGACATATGTCGGGTGTTAGGGCATGTATAAGAGAGGATTCAACATTGACTTGCCTTTGTTACACTGATTGTAATCCACCCTACAGAGGATTTTATTCCTGTACGTGCATTTGCTATTAAGATCACGATAATAAACCCAACTCAATTCTTTTAATGGGAGTTTGGAAGGGATAGATTAGTTACAAATGACCTAAACTTTGATACGATTTTGCACTAGGTAGCTATACTCCAGTACGAACCCAAAACCATAAGGTCATTGTTCGAACTTTAACAACTGAACTAGCAGCGGCGGATTCACATGCCCCCACTGAAATTTAAAAAAAAGTGGGGTGTAAGTATAATTTTAAAAAATTTAGAATTTATTAGACATTTGCCCCCACTAAAAAGTTTTAAAAAATTTATGGGGCTTGTAGTTCTCTTTGTGTTTTATTGTTTTATGAAAATTGGGGTTTGTAGTCCTCTATTTATTTTTATAAGTTGAAATTGGGGTTTGTAGTTATCTTTTATGATTTATTTTTTATATATTTATTTGATTTTGGGGCTTGTAATCCTCTTTTGTGTTTTATTTTTATGTTGAATTGGAATTTGAGCTTGTAGACCTTTCTTTTGTTTTATTCTTATATTTTGAATTAGAATTTTTATGTTGAATTGGAATTGGAGCTTGTAGACCTCTCTTTTGTTTTATTCTTATATTTTGAATTAGAATTAGAGCGTATAGTCATCCATTATGTGTTAGATTAAATTGTTTGGATTTGGTGGTTTAAATAGTTTTATTGTGATAGGTTAAATAATTCTTATACCTAAGTTTAGTTTAATAGAATAGTGATAGTTTAAGTTAGTTTATATTGTTTGTTAAAATTCACTAATGAATACTAAGTTTGTTACTGAACAATTTAATTTTTAAAAAATTAATTACGCAATCGAATGATAGATCAATGGATGAACAATTGTTTGGTTACATATGTCGAGAAAATAATTTTAAGTACCATTAATAATGTAATTTTCATACATCGCTTTCAAAATATGAAAACTCGTTAGGAGCAACTATGAATATTTATAGAATGTTTGACAATTTGGATTCTCTCATTATAGACTCAATATATGATTGAGTCCAATTTTTTTGTTCAATTATTTTTTGTTAGCTCTTATAAATAAATTTATAGTGATTTTTTATTTGTTGGCTCTTTTTTTGCATCGCTTATGTATATGAGTTATTTTTTAATTGATGTTCTATTAATAAAAATATATTTTTGTGAATATTTAAAATTTTGACTATTGTTGCCCCTGGAGAATATTTCTGGCTCCGCCCCCATGAACTAGTATCCTCGTGTACGTACCAATGGTAGTAATCTTTTGCTATTTAGTTTTGATGGTCAATAATGCTACAATCTTTGGTATTGCTTGAGGGGCAGTTATCACTTAATGAAGAATTGTTTCCTGTATAATCTACTAAGCAGATGTTTAAAAGATAAAAAATCGCCAACCTTCATTAGTTTGGCTTCTCCTTTTATCCCATGGTTGTAGTTTGCGATTATGACACATTTTTTATTTCTGTCATTTAGATTGTAAATGAATACTATTTGCATAAATGGATAATTATCAGCAGAAACAGCACTTCTCTTAATATGCATACTATCAGAATAAATGCAGTAATTGCCAACTCTTGTTGCTCCACAGATTGCTGAGCAAGAAGGTCAAAAACATTCGCCATCAAAGAAAAGAAAATTTGATCACTCGGGAAATCGCCATGATGAAGATGAAGAAGCCGATGCTTGTGGGTTGTCATTGTCACTCTCGCTGCATCATCCCTCTACTCAGAGAAGTAATGGTTCATCTACAAGTGAGATCACCGAGGCAATCTCATCATACTCTAGGTCTAATTTAAGTGACTGTTCTGGTTCTTCTTTGGAAAAGCATGGCCTTAACTTGAATCTGCCTATTGCTCTATATGGTACCTAGATTTACTGTGAAAGGTCTTCCTATATAGTTTTGTTAAATGTTTCTTTATTATGCTGTATTCCTACACTGATGAGTTTTGTATTCCACTTTGGGGCTAAAGTTGTATTAAGTTGAACAATCACAAACAATAGATATAAATTCTTATATTAGGGGATTACTTCTCAGCCATGGCAAGTCATTTCTTTGTAAAGGTACACTGCAAGCCTGCAAATTTAGTCGGTGCCCGGTTTTATCTGCCCCCTAGCTAAGCTTATGTGAATGGTTAACCTTAGTGGTTAACTGTGCAAACTTGGTTTTCAATGTTTTAGATAATATTTGTGCTCCCTCCAATCCAAATATCGCCAGTTTTAATGTGTATTCATAACAGTGATTGCCTATTGATCACACACTGTAAGGGGAGTCAAAGTTCGATTTCAATGCGTTAATACCATATGAACACAACATAATACGTTAAATACCATATGAACACAACAGAAACCCAAAAAATATAGAAATAGCCTATTTAACTATTATTGTTTGTAGAGAATATCAGTTTTTATTATTATTTTTTTGTTTGATCTAGTATTATATGAGTTGCAAAATCAAATGTTTGTTTATTTGGTTTTCTGAGATGTGAAATAATTAGATTTTTAATTTTTGTGAATCAAATGTACTGGATTTGGTTGTGAGCAAAAATGTCATAGTTCTGCGGTTTCTTATTAGTAGATCATAGAATATGACAAACTAAAAATGAAACAATTGGAATATGACATAACCATGGTTCAAAAAAGAATATGATTGACATCGCAAGAGGATTGTGGAACAGTCGTCATTAGACGGAGTAGTGAAGTAGGCCTCTCTTAACAATCTTTTCTTTACTGAATTATGATGAGATGTTGTTCCTTACATACTTGTAAGTATCTCTAAACAAGACCTCTGACCTATCCATGTGTAAAAAAAAAAAAAACATATGAGATGTTGCTTACATACTTGTATCTCTTAACTTACTTTCAATCTTCTTCTTTTTTCATCTTTCACAGCATTCTTCAAACACAATTTCATGAATCTTTTAAGTTTAGCATTGGGCAGATATTAGACAAATATGTATCCTAAACCACTCGCTACGAGCACTTCCAAAGAGGAGCCATAAGTGACTGGGAGTGTTAAATAAATATTTATTTTACACTCCTCTATAACAACTTTTAAGGACAGATACTTATCTTACACTTCTTTCTAACAGCTTAAATATTTAGAGTTGTTCGGCAGTATAATGTCATTCTCACTCATGGCCCAGACCCCCAACTTCCTTCTGGTGTTTACTGTTTTAGTCATAAGCTGCACAGTAAAAACTTCTAATAACTCTGTCCAGTTGTGAACCAAACTATTCAAGGCAATTCCTCCAAGGCTCCAAGGGATGGTTATGGTCTGGTTCAAAATGGGTTAGGTGTAAAACAAGATGAATCCATTATTAACTTCTTAATAAACAGGTTATAAGGAGTTGGATTAAATCTATTAACCCTCAAAATAATTAAAATTCTTGGCCCAATTCTAAATCCGACTTCGAACCTAACCTTGGACCCAACCCTAGACCCAGGCCCAACTTTGAACTTGGACCTAGCCTCAAACCCGATTCTGACCCTAAACTCAAACCCCGTACCTGGACTGAACCCCGAACCCAATCTCAAACCCGAATCTAAATCCTCGACTCATCCCCAGGTAGTGGTGATGGTGGCGACGAGTGATGGTTGTTATGAATGAGAAATACCATCAAATATTAAGAAATGACAAATCCTACACTTGTGGGATTAAGTATTTCATGGTAATATAAATAAATTTCTATTACTGCATACCAAGCATAGGATTGAGTATTACTAAGTAATAATGTATTAGTGTGTGTGTGCGCGTGCGAGTGTATCCGTGTTCTAGTGTATTAGAGAGAGAGAGAGAGAGGGTGTGTGTGTGTCTGTTTTGGTGGACTAGTGTGTGTATATGTGGATGCGTATTTTGGTGTAATAATATATGTGTGTATTTTGGTGTAGTAGTCTATGTGTATGTATTTTAGTGTACGTATGTGTGTGTGTGTGTGTTTTGATGTATTAGGGTATTTGTTTATATTTTAGTGTATTAGTGTGTGTGTGTGTGTGTGTTTGTTTGTTTTGTTATTTTTGTGTGTATGTTTTGGTGTATTAGCGTGAATGTGTATTTTTTAGTATATTAGTGTGTGTGGTTATTTTGGTGAATTAGTGTGTGTGTAGCAATTAGTGTGCATCTATGTATGTTTATTTTGGTGTATTAATATGTCTATATTTTTTGGTGTGTTAAACTATATGTATTTTGGTGTATTAGTATATATGTATTTTCTTTATTTTGGTTTTTTTTCATATTTTTTAGTATATAAGTATCTGTTTTTTTTAGTGTAATAGTTTGTTTGTGTATTTGTATTTATTAGTTTTGTTATTTAATAGAAAGATAAATATCAACTCAATGGATACTCATTTGTAATCCGTTTTAACTCATTTAATTAAATTGAATGCATTTAAAATTTGCATTAATTACTATAGGTGTCCACCCATTAATTTATGGACAAACTGGGCGTGTTAATGGGTAATAAGTAAAGATTGTCACTCCCAACACTACACATCAAAACTTAATTTTTTTTTTCCCAGGATTATATATTTTGTTCATAATGTTGAACATAACCAAGTCGGTCTTTCCATCATAGAGCTTTGGGAAGTTTATTGTCTTCAATCTAGCGGGTGAAAGAGGAGACGACTAAACCACTAAGGTCCTGTTTGGATGATGATAATCTTGATTGGAAATGAAATTTTCATTCCTAAATCTTAAATTATTATGTTTGGAGAGTCAATTATTCAGTACTCTAATTTAGAAATAAAATTACTACCGTAATCTAATTTCTAATAATGGTGGGTATCTAAACTCATAGTCAATGGTGGTAATCTCAACCTACATTAATTGGGTATTATATATAAAGAATAAAAACCACAAAATGAAAACTCCTCCTTAAAATAAACTTCATTTCAAAAATTAAGTTTTTATCTTAAAATCAATCTCCTTTCTAAAATTAAACTATTTATTAAAACAATTTGGGAATGACATTTGATGGTTCTCGAAAATAATGGTCCCAGCCCAACCAATAACGTTTTGGGGATTTTAGTGAATTTAGCTGATCAAGAGGTTAATCTTCAAAGAATAAAAGAGCACAAAATGTAAGTGGTTTACCTTAGCCAAAGAACTAAAGTTATATCCACTGTAATAAAGTATCTTACTCTTTGAGACTGTATATTACTCAATCTTTCGTGAATACAATAGTCTAACAAGCATTGGGTTCTTGCACGGAATATATTCTCTTTTATATCTGCTATATTTTGGGCTTAAGAGTGCAATGGGGATGATGATCCTCCCTGCTAGATAACAGTGTCTTATTTATATAGTCTCTTTTAGGGTTTCCTACTATTCCTTCTTTCTTGTTGATTCTGTGGGTCCTCTCGCCTATGTCCTGTAGCGATCTCTATTATTCAGCGCCACTGTTCTTACGATCCCTGGATGGTTATGCACACCAACACCCTTTGCTCTAGGGAGTACGTGATTGTCATAAGTGTCAAAAGTGGTTCCTGTGTTCCCAAGACACGTGGTGCGACGAGAGTGATCCGGGACAGACACTAGGATAGGCTCCTTTATCCCGGGTCGTCCTTTGGCTAAGTTGAATTAAGACTGGGCTGAGCCTCAAGTTTCCTGGTACTGTTGGGTTTTACAGTTCATATTTGATCCACTCTGCTCTTGGTGTGGATAGGTCGTGGGCACTTCGTTCAAGCCATTATGCAACAAGGGTTTCCCTGGATTGTTGCGTTTTTGGACTGTGACGGCTCATACCCAATATCTCATCATCAACAACATTAATTCCCACACTACACTACTGACAAATCAAACACTAAATATAAGATTACTATGGTAATTAAAATCTGAATACCTCATTATTAGGAATAAGATATCCATTCCCAATTAAAATTGGCTGGGGTTTTATTGTCTTCGATCATTTTTTACTATTTGCTTTTGTGCTGGCGATGATCCTCGTCTGTGTCCGAGTGGCTATGAGGTCTCTTTAGCTTGACTCTGTCTCCGAACAAGTAAGTCATTAATTAATCAGAAAATTATTGTATTGTATCAGCATTGGAAAATGCAATGAAATGTTTCGTGTATTTACTTTGGATATTAGGTGGTTCTTTCATTTTGCTAGTTGATTGTTGTGCCTTTCTCCTTCCCAACTCTCTCATTAGTAAAGAAAATAAACCTAATTTTGCACTGTTTGTGGTCTCTCTTATGTGAAATGGGTCCTCTGTTGAAACTTGGTTCATTGTGAATTCCCCACTGTTGTCTTTAGTATTTATCAAATACCAATATTCTTGAGCAACAGCGTAAGTTTCGAGTCTCACTAATCCTCCTCCCCTGTATGTACAGTACAATGACCAAAAAAGTATCAACATTCACTCTTTGGACGGACAAAATTATAAGCAATGTTGCTCAGTGCAGGACACCAAACACGTATTTCAAGAACGCCGGCACAATTTTATTTTTTTTACAATGGACCTTTCGTCAAGGATGTCAAGAGAAAACCAGTACAACGCACGAGTAAATGTGCACTCTTTTGTTCTGCTTTTATGCTCCAATGGAGCAAATGTGCTTACTACATTGCCATACTGTGTTTAAATCAACCAGCATAAAAAGGGACCTACACAAGACTTGGAGACTTGTCATACTGAAAATCCACTCGATCTACATACTGTCAACCAATTTAAAAAAAATCTCTACTAATAAGGATTTATGCAAAGTTGTGTTGTCAAGTTAAACAAAGTTGTGTTGTCGAGTAATTCGTGTTCAACATTAACCCAAGTCTATTTATTATTTGTGATAGTGAATCATATCATTTTCCAGTTCATGTTGAGACTTGTCATGTCAAAAATTACCATCCCCGCTATATATGCACAATTTTTCACTTTTATTCTCTAACGCGAGAAAAAATAATGTTATTGACCCAAAATATATATATTGCACATCACAACAGTGACAGCTAAATTACTGCAGGAGAGTGTACAAGAGGGGGATCAATGTCATATACGTTGCAGGTATTTTGTTAAAACTTGTGGCGGCAATGTTAGGAATGGGGATGAGCATGTTGGTTGTCCAAGCATTGCAATGAAGTCCAAAGTAACAATAACTAAAGCAACTACATGCAGATGGATTGAAACATAGCACCTCCAGAAACCATTTTAACATACCATAGTCACTGGAAAATGGTCGGTAAATATTGGAAAAACAAAGTCATGTTCTTCCATCTTTTCCAATTACGCACCATTAATTCACACAATCACCAGTTCCACTGTCATGATCATACAAAACGTACCAGAAACATGGAGTTGACTGCCACCTTAGTAGTCGTTGGAGTGAACAATATTGCAACACTACATTATCTCCACCACCGCACGCCCTACAATACTTCCCTGGTTAAGATCTTCATACGCTTTCCCTGCCTCCTCAAATTTACATTTCCGTGAAACAGCTGCTGTAAGATCGAAGATACCAGTTTCGGCCAATTTAATTACTTTGGGAAGATCATGCCTTGCCCTGGCTCCATAAGAGCCAATTACTTTTATCTGTTCCAAGAGATTTTTACAAGAAAAATTACAAGCTGCTAAAATGGATAACAGAGCTAATCAATCCTAGAAGTAAATTATTAACTGTTGTCAGATGAAAATGATTGTGGTAAAAAATATTTTCTTCGCAATGTGTTCCAAATTTCCTGTGGTTATAACAATTAGGTGAAATTTCGAACAGGATCATGGCTAGATTGCTTTTTTCCCTCTATTTTTATTTTTCCCTCCATTTCTACTTTGAAACAAGTAAAGTTTCATCTCAAAATGACACAAAAAATCAAAATTGTTCCTTCAAAAGTCCAACTGAGCAGATCATCCACAATGACAGCAGTCTCAAATGCTCATTCCACACTTCCCCTAAATTGTTTGCTAGCCCATCATATTTTAAAATTTTCCCATTTAAGGGTTCCAGCAGTGTTTAGTTCAACAAAAATGGACTAATAAAGATCAGAATTACATCCATCATTCGTTGTTATCCGCATGTAATATCTTTATGAAAATCATCAAAACTAAACAAATGACAAGTTTAAGATCAGAAATCAAATAGCAGTTGATGACAAAGCAACCTAGGGTTCATCAAGGAGTAAAGATTTTAAAGGATAAAGTAGCTGCTGAAATAAAGTTACCCCGATAATGTCTTCTGAAAAATTAAAAACAGAATGGTGTGACCACAAAAATTGGGGTAAAAAGGGAAGTAAGGGGAGATCTGAGCCTCCTACACGGCCAACAACATAACATACGAGGATAGAGCACATTGCTGGGTTTCATAATTAACATACTGGCAATGTCCATTGCGATAAACAAAAAAATTCCAGTACTTATTGGCCAAGTAACCACGCCACAAAAAATTGAAGAAACTCTTAAATTCAGACAGAATAGAAAATAATCAAACAGATGGGTGAGAAGAGACTCGCTACTCTTGTCCTTCTACAAAAGCCTCCTGCCCATCTGAATGGAAATACCATATAAGTGAAAGAAGGGTAGAAAAAATGACAGCCCAGTGTAAAAGGCTCCCGCCATTGCGAGGTCTGGGGAGATTTAGATGTAGTAGTCTTACCTCCCCCCCCCCCCCCCCCGTGACGAGACTGTTTCTGCCAGTAGAACCTTGGCGCTCAGGTCACAATGAAGCAATCTTACAGTTGCACTAAATCCCACCCTCAGAAAGGTAGAAAACACTGATACACAGGTTTGATGAGCTTGAATACAGTAGATCAGGATGAACTAGTATCATACAATTTATAGGAATGTGAGTTAGAGAATCTTATTTCAATTTTGACTGTTGGGGCACTCAAAAGCTGATTGTGATGGCACCACATCTTAATAAATAGACTTGCCCGTCGCTTAGGGACATCTGAAAATTTTGGAACGATACACAAAAGATGGCCGCACAAGGACGACATAAAACAGTTGACAAGTGGTCCAAACTTTGAAGCTAGGTGGTCAAAGAGGATAAAGTAAGTTGAATTTTGAATAATTGTACGATAAGGTTACAGAAAAAGAAAGAGAAGAATAAGACAGGATGAAAGAGAGTTGGTTGTTGCTAACACCCTATCACCTAATATATATTAGATTGATATTGAGCACAATTGCAATATTAAGAAAATAAAACACGATACGAAAACCAAATAGAGTAATAGAAAAGGAACATAATAGGAAAGTAATAAAATAGGAAAGTAGAATAATAGGAAAGTAATACTCTAACACTCCCCGTCAAAGCTAGAGTATAGAGATAAAAAAATGTCCAGCTTGGATTAAAGGCTACTATCTCCACGTAAACAATAAGGATGATGAAACCAAGCTCTGAGTGGCTACTTCAGACCATTTAAAGATTTTTTTAATCGACACACTATTACCATATCCTCCTTAAGCAAGGTAGCTGCCCCATGTGAAGTTTACGACGTCACTTTAGATTTCTAGAGAAGCAATTAACGATCACACCAAAATCAGCAATAGCATAAAAATCATGATAACACAAACGAAAAAATGATCACCGCAATCGAAGACACGAATTCGGATTTAAGCACTCCACAATAACTAATAATGATCACCGCAATCGATGAACAAACGCAAATGACTAAACTTGATGTGTGCGAGGCCAGCCCAACCACTAGGCGTTTGCCTAGGGCCAAGCTCCACTAATCCAAGTATCTTGCTCTGATACTAAGTTGAAACTTGAATAATTGTATCTTAAGGTGATAGAAAAAAAAAAGAGGAGAGAGGAAGAAAGAGAGTATGGCACAGTATTGTGTGTATTAAGAAAGTAGAACATAATAGAAAAATAAAAATAATAGAAAAGAAACATAATAAGAAAGTAACAAAATAAGAAAGTAGAACAATAGGACAGTCACATTCTAACAAAGTATAAGGGTTACAATATTTAATTAGAGCATGTGTAATGCAAACAGTTGCAGAAATTATTTTGCAAATTAAAACAGATAAAAGAGATTTAACAGAAGTCAGAAATTCTACAATTCAGCACCTAGAAGACAGCTATTCATTTATGTTTAAGGGCATCTTCTCATTAAAATCAGACAAAGGTAGTTAAGCCTAGGGCAGGGCTGGGCTACAAACTTTCAAAAGTCTCAGTCCAGTGCATCCATAGTTATTGGAGTTTTTGGCCAGTACATCATATGCAAATTACCAGACTACATCAACGCAAGAAGGTGCATAGTGTAGGATGTAGACAACAGCCTTCCAAACCCAAGTCTATATGAGAAGATTCCAAGTCATTTCCTACCCAATCTTTGGTTGTCATCATTCTTAAGAAGATTTATTCGCAACTGGGGGAAAAAGGCAAAAGAACAAGCGAGGCAAAATATAATACCAATAAAAATTCCTAAAACCATCATTTTCAAGCTTCCTCGAAGACTCAGAGACACTGGTTCAAGCACAATCTCACTAAAATTCTTCAAAACATGCAATTCAAGACATAACATATGATCAATGTTTCCTGTACTGAACAATGCACCTTCACTAGTTTCAAAACTGATGCTGGTCATTGAGTTTTTTATCTGACAAAGATAATATCCATTATTTCATCATGGTGTGGCATTCCTATTTTGCTCTTATTAAATCATGAGAAAGCTTGATCTTTTAGTTTCCTCAAAAATACAGACCGGAAAAGACAAACAAACACGTACACAGCGGAAAGGAAATATGAAGTGATCATAATAAGGTAGGACATTGCGAAGCAATCAAGGACTGCAATATTTGCAGCAATGCAATCGCCAAGTAAGGACATGATTTCAACATGATACAAATATGTTACCCAACAAAAATACAAATATAAAGATTGCATATAGAAAAAACTACCAATTTTTACGATCATAGTTAAAGTTGATTTTAATCACCCACCCCTACCAGATAGTCTACTCTATATAATTTCAGATATTGCTTTCCACCAATATGGACAAACAGAAGTTTTGCATTGGGTGGACTTACTGAATTTCTCTTTCACGCACCATAGAATTCTTTATTCAAAGTGTCTTTCCAATCCAATCAAACTTGGACAATACTTGTTTCTTTCTTTTCATTCTTCTCTCCTTTAAATGACTTGGACCATATTTTAGAGATAATAGGCACATCACAATATTCTAAGTTACTGTTATCAAGGAATTCATTCATAAAACTTAGATACTTAAAAAAAATATGCATTGGTGTACTAGCGTACAAACCTGTCTACGAACCAGACGGTTTATATCTATCTCCCCTTTGGCGTCAGAGAGTGTAAGGCCAATCATTACAGCTTTTCCACCATCTCGAACACTTTGTGTGCATTGCATGAATGTCTGTGGTTTTCCCAAGGCTTCAACAGCAATGTCCACACCCATTCCTCCAGTTATTTCCTGTCACAATACACCAGTTGATTAGCTTTTGTCAATATACATACACAGTTTCCAAAATAAGAAATCATGTCAGTCAGAAGTTAGAATCTCAGAAACCATTTTTAAGGATTCGTGTCCCCCCAGCATAGGTACTTCACTAGCTGCTATATATAGTAGAACAGCCTTTATAATACAAGAAAGAATGAAAAGAAGTCATGCTGAACAGGATGGAGGCGCTTGTTCTTTTGCCAATAGACCTTTTACAGAACCTTAAGTCGAAGTAACCTAGCAGGGTAGAATTAGAAATAGTAACATTCGTATAATCTAAGAGGACAGCCATCCCAATAGATCCTTTCTTGTTTTTCTTGCTCCTTGTTGTTTTCTTTGTTTCTTTCCATCTTGGGCTTTGTTAAGAGAGCTATCCCCCATAAGAAAATTAAGTAGACGCAATGACAATCTATAAACTTGAGGGCCCACTCCAGCCATTGTCAATTAGTTTGGGGTTCAGCTTGTAGGCAGTTGATTTGGGACTTCTGATCACTCACTCAGCCATAACTTTATGGGCTGCAATATCAATAACCATCACCCACATGAAGTTGAGCAGGAGGATCCTCAAAGCCAACAGCTAACTCTGGAAAATACTTCTTACTAACATTTATTACCATCTCATCTATCTCACAAATATCAATCAGCTCCATAGAGCTGTAATGAGAAATTTCCTTAAGAATGCCAACATAACTGCCGCCTGCAACCAGAACAGTTTTTGGGGATTCAATCGAACAAAGGGGTAGATGAGCTATCATCTCCTGTAGGCACATTCATCTTTTACAGTCAACTGCACAATGCCATCAAGAACAAGCATTTTTGCATATGTTAAGGACTCAAAAACCAGGATCTCCTTCTTCCCCTCTCCTTCTTACTCTTTCTTTCTTAAAGTTTTAACTTGGTATCAGAGCTGGCCCCTAGGTTGTTGGTGGGTTAAATCTATCACCCAGATGCGTTTCCCCATTTTTTTCAGTTTAGCTCCAATTTATTTGTTGTCTGTTTTAGCTAGGTTTGTTTGCCCACATGTGAATCCGGGTCACACGTGAGAGAGGTTGTGCAAAGATCTATCCCACATCGAAAAATTAAGTTGACCCAAGGACAGATTACACACTTGAGGGACTACCCGGTTCTTCCATATTTCTTCACAAAAGAAAGAAAGAAAACGCTTCTTCTCATACACAAGCCTAGACTAAACAGAAATAACTGCACAACTTTTGCTTTCTTCGAAGAAAGAGAAAAAAACCAGAAAGAACCATACTAGTAAAAATGATAACGATGACAGCTGCAAGGACAAACTCTAAGCTATTGTTCCATGTTCAGTATACTGCAGTTTGAAATATCGCCTCATAAGGGCGTCTTAACTATTTGTGCAAGATAGTCTTTTATTATTTGGAGTATAAGTAACTATAATTTTCTCTTCAGTCAAGTTCTGAAGTCCAGTGAATTTTGAGACGCTCCCGAGAGTCTCTATCAGAATCAATTTTAGTCGCAGTTTTGATTCTTCATTTAAATTGTAGTTCTGGCATGTTTTGAATCATTTATGGGACACATACAGAAGAAATAACATGAAAAGGAAACTATGTTGTCAATAGTAGGCTTTTAGTTTGCAGTTTAACAAGGAAAAGCAATTGTTAGAGGTAAAAAGCAAAAATTTCAAAGAAAATGAAGGGGCCCAAGGGGCCAAAAGAAGAATCAAGTAAACAAGAAGAAAGAGAACAGTGGAACAATGACAATAAAGCATAAACTTATTCAACCCAGAAAGGATATACAAGGGAACAAAATGATAACAGAAAAAGTAATCCAAAAGAAAAAACACAACAAAAGCCTTCCTTATATCATTAGCGGACACTAATTAAACTCGAGAAGTCAATACATACACTGCAAACCACAAAGAAAACTGATTCGGTTGCTTTCACAACCCTTGGTGCAGTACCATGAACCCCTACACTTGAAATATGAAAGCAACCATAGCTGTTTTAAAATAGTGGTCCACTCAATCTAGAATACTGGATACCATACCTGAAATTAGGGCTGTCAAAATTCGACACGACACGATTAACCGACACGAATCGACACGAATTAAACGGGTTTGGGTGAGATCTTAACGGGTTTAGGTGATAAACGGGCTGAAAACCAAACACATTTAATAAACGGGTCGTGTTCGGGTGAGACCTGTCAAACCGTTTATCACACGTTTACTCATTTAAATAAAATTAATATAATAACAAATTAATAATTATTTTAAAAAATTAGCAAGAAAAAATAAGTAAAGAAATTAATAAAAAAAAAAAAAAAGTAAAGTAGTAGTTTAAAGACAAAGGAGAAGAGTTAGAGAGCATTTCAAAGGCAAAGGCAAAGGCAAACAAATGTCTTTTGCTTTTGTCCCACATTGAAAAATGAGGGGAGATGGGGAGGGCTGACTTACCTATAAAAGACAATGACCTCTTACTTTTATTTTTAAAGCCTTCAAGTCTTATTTTTCAAAGACAAATGAGAGGAGTTGTAGAGCACTTGAAAGACAAAGGCAAACCAATGTCTTTTGTTTTTGTCCCACATTAGAAAATGAGGGGAGATGGGGAGGGTGAGTTGCCTATAAAAGGCAATAGCCTCTTGCTTTTTTTTTTAAAGCCTTCAAGTCTTATTTTTATGAGATTTGATTTAAAATTCCTCTTTTTTAAGATAATGCAATTAGTATTAAAAAAAATTGAGTATTAAAATTTGTTGATATAATTTTTTTATAATTAAACGGGTTAAACGAGTCGTGTCGTGTTATCCATTTATTAAACGGGTCGTGTTCGTGTTGAGATTTTTTACCCATTTATTAAACGTGTCGTGTATGAATTTATACGTTTTTCACCTGTCACCCGTTCAACCCGACACATAACCGTTTAACCCGACACGATTGACACCCCTACCTGAAATTAATGCACTATAAACTATATATGCAAATTTGAAACCAAAAGAAAGAGATTAAGTACTCTAATCTTTTGAACGGCATCTTCGTTTCGTGCATTTATGATGTGTGTGGCTCCAAGCATTTTCGCTTTCTGCAATTTCTCATCTTGAACATCCACAGCGATAATTTCAGAAGCACCAAATGCCCGTGCTATCTGTAGACAACTGAACCAAGTTATCTAGTTATAATCACATAATAGAGAGATTAACAAAGTGGAATTGCAAATTAACAGCAGTAAAGAAAAACTTGCCACTAGAAGGGATGTAGCATTTTTTGATTATAGTATGCTGAATTTGAGTAAGATATGGCGATCCACTATCAATTTGAAAGAATATCCAACCATCCCTGAGATTTCTATAAAAGCAAATGGCTTCCATCTCATTTCTACAAACCTTGAAGCTGACAACTTAAGTTATGAAGCACAAGTAAGTCATGCTAATATCAAACCAATATTACCTGGATCGTAGATCGATTTGGGACATGGGATAGGTACGGCTACGTGTTACATACTTTTTTCAATGCACAATACAGTGGGATAGACTTAGTTGGTATGCTATTTTAGGTCGTGGTTCGTTTTGTAACTTCTATATAGAATCATATATGCATATATACATAGTTAATAAATATTAATTTATATTTTTTACAAATATTATCACGACATGAGTTTAAAGAACACTAAACTAAAGAAGAGTAAGGCCATTTATACATAATTTGTTAACCTAATAATGTTGTTTGATTATAACTATTGGATTAACATCAAGTTCCAATATTTACTGGGACTCACAGTCTTAGGTCAATAAATTAAGGTCAAATAACATTGCTCAATAAAGAAATAACAAGTTAAAATTATGATTTGGAGCTGGGGTTATGATGCAAGATTACTTAGTTCATTAATCAATTAGCTAGTTGAGTTATAATTTGGGGTCAGGACTTTGAACAATCTGAATCGTGAACTCACCCCATTTTGGGTCATGCGAGCCCGGTTCGTGAAACGCTTGGGATATCTACAATCCCGGTAGGTGTGTATCAGACCTGAGGAGAGCTCAACAATATAACAAGCAAGTCTGGTGATCAACAGTGCTTTTGTCGTAATAGTATATACATCATGATGACATGATCATCATTGGTAATCAGCTTACAAGAATGTTTGTATAAAATATAAATTAGAAATCACTCTTATCAATACATATATATATATATATAAAACCATAAAACTTTATATCTTCATCAAATGAGATGGAATCAATTGTTCACAATATAACAAATTCATGTATTTTTTTTTTTTTGAAAGGGTCATTAATTACTATTATAATAGTATTTTCATTCCTCTAAGTTTAATCCAGAATTGAAACTTCAATAATTCATATAGTTAAACTTTACGTGCTACTAATATAAATTAAAATTTTTATTTAGTTATACTGAATTGGTTCTAAATTGTGGGCATTGATTGCACTCTATTTTCAAGTCCAAAAATACTGTGCTCTAAACAAATCTCCAGGGTGGAAATTATTCAGAGTCTTTTTGAGAATCTCAATTAAGGGAGCTATAAGATTCCCTGTAAGTCTCTAATGATAGAAATCAAATAATATGACAAGAAGATGTTAATCTCAGCCCTTCATTCCTGCCAATTAGACATAGCCTTAAGAAAATAATAAGCATCCCTGGTACAGAAACTGTGCATAAGTCTAAATGTCCATCCAGAGCCACTAGAAACGATTGCCAGAGCAATTTACTTACCCACCAATTGATTAAAAAATACTACAACGGAAATTAATTTTAGATGCGAATTTAAAAGTACAGCATTGTGCAACATAACATGCAAGCCACATGCGAGAAATGCAGCAAATAAAGAATGCAGCTACACTAACATCTTTAATTCTTAGTACGTAAATACCTAGATTTATGTTTTGAACTTCTTAAAAAAGTGAGTGCATACAACTTGAAGGGACGAAGAGAAACTCTTCTGGATCTTAGTCATTTAAAGTTTCAAAGAAGGTGGAAATGAGGAGGAATTCAAAATGAACCACAAACCCCATGATAGGTTTGCATTAAGTCTGAAGATTTAAAGAAGTCGAGGAATGCAAGTTTAGAAAGTACATGATTATATAAATAATGCTCCCAGAAGCCAATCCTGAATCCATTGCCTACAATGTTCAATTAACAAAAGGTACCGTCTGGTTCCTACAGATATGGCCTTCCATAGACGAGGTTGAGTTCTTATGTCTCCTTTATGAATACCCTTATCTTGCATATCATAAGCTTCCTCCAAAAGTTGGAATGCAGAAGATGGATCAAGAATTCGGTACAGAGGGAGTATAAAATACTACTATGCACAAGTTTAGCTTTTTACCTTGAGCCTACACCCCCTATGCCAATCACTGCAATAGCATCACCAGGGCGGACCTCAGCTGCATGAGCCATAGCACCATAGGCAGTAAAAACTGCACATCCTAAAATAGCAGACTCCGTATAAGGCAATGAGTTGGGTAAAATTGACAATGCATTAGCTGGGACAACACAGAATTCAGCAAGGCCTCCCATACTGTACATATATACCGGCTTGCCTGCACAAAATGACATACATTTCAGTTGTCCAAATACCTCACATATACCTATTCAAGATCAAGATAAAACGGAAACAAACTTCCACAAGGATGATAGTTTAAAGCACCATGAATACACACACGCACACACACAGAGAGAAGTCTGTCAAGAACACCAGAAGATGGACGAGGCACATTGTGCAAGAGCAAGATAGAGAAAATCATATTGCAGCATTTTAATAAATACAACCGGTGCCTCCAATTCTTGAAAAATGTGGAAATGACCAATGCAATTGATACTAATCTCATATTACATGGTGCAAGTGCATGAACCCACCCATCCACCAAAAAGCAAAGAGCATCAACTGGTCAACTGTATGTACTGCAAGTAATTCTTTCTGTTTTTACAGGTACTCCAAGAAGCTCTTGAAATGAGACAGTAACGGACATTCAATTCATTCACAGACGTCAAACAATCTTTTCAAGAGCCGTAAGACAACACAAATTATTTAGAAAACCTTGATATGACAAGAACAAACTTTTGGTACAATAGTAAAAAAAATAAGACAAATCTATGAAACTCAACTAGAATTCCTTGGGACTCACATCTAAGGTCATCAGATTATCTCAAAAATCATTCAATCACAATTGATTATTACTCAAGACTCAATTTAATGGCAAATGCTCTTATTTGTGATGCAAACTAATCCTAGGTTGCAAATGGTAGGAAAAAAAAAAAGAAATTTATTGATTAGTTGGAATTGGAAAATGGTGTGATCATTTGAGGATAAGGGTTGATTGAAAGTAACTTGTTGAATTCTTTGCCAGTTATATTGATCTCAAAGGACTGTTAGACTGAGGTTGGAAGGTTTGGGTTGGTGTCCTATTGATGAGCTTAAATGTAGGTGGTTGGAAGGGCGGGAAGAAAAAGTGAGAAAGACTATTCTTTAGTGTCGTAGAGATAAGGCTTCAAGGCCTAATGGATTCACTTTAGCTATTTATCAGGATTGTTGGGATATGGTCAAAGTTGATTTAATAAAGGTGTTTAATGAGTTTTTCCAAAAGGGAGTTGTTAATTCAATTACCAACTTTACCTTTATATGTCTGATCCCAAAGAAAGACAAGTTCATTCCAATGAGTAATATTAGGCCAATGAGTTCAGTGTCTAGCCTCTATAAGATCATTGTAAACGATTTAATTTTGTAAGGGAAAGACTCTCAGTGAGACAAGTTCTAAGCAAGGATCAAAATGTCGTGTCGACACGTCCGAAACGTTTCGGAATTTCAACACTCCGAAACGAAACAGTAGTTGAATCACAAAATTCCAGTGTTTCGGTCGAAACGGTACTGTTTCGGACCGTTTCGGTCGAAACGGTACTGTTTCGGACCGTTTCGGTCGAAACGGCATTGTTTCGAACCGTTTCGACAAAACAATGATATATTCGGTTCATTATGAATAATTACATTTAATACCCCATTATAATTACATTTAATACCCACTGTAATTACATTTAATACTCACTATAATTATATTTAATATCCCACTATAATTACATTTAATTCCCACTGCTCTTCTGTCTTTTATAATTTTTTTGTTATAAGAATAAATAATTACACTTAATACCCTACTATAATTATATTTAATACCCATTATAATTATATTTAATACATACTGTAATTATATTTAATACCTCACTGCTGTGCAAGTTTTTTGCTTTTTTTTTTGTTATAAGTATTAACAATTACATTTAATACCCTAATGTATTATATTTAATACCTACTGTAATTACATTTAATACCCACTGCAATTACATTTAATTTTTAAGTATACATAAGTATCATTAATTTAATTTGATACCTTTCATTATTAGTATTATAATAAAATAGTATTATTAATTGGATTATATTACCGTAATAATATGATTTGGAGTAACTATTGTCATCATATTTATGTCACATATGGAGTTTCTCTAAGTAGCTACCCAGAGCCTACACCGATGTATGAGCCTGCTCGACACTCCACAGGGGAATGGATGTAACCATGTAAGTATGTACTCATTAGCATTTCATGTGTATTATAAGACCTTAATATTATGTAAAAATGTGTTTATTTCATAAAAATTAAGTGTTTGAAACTAATTTAAGTGACTTTCACCTCAAGTCAAGCCTTTTTTCCCTCAAATTTAAATTTATTCTTGTATAAATTGATGTTAACCTAATAAATATGTTGAATTAATAAATTATTTAGCATATCTTTATAAATTAATGGATTGCATTTGTGTTTCTATGCGTTTCCATATTTTTTCTGCGTTTCCGAAATATTTCCGAAACGTTTCTATTTTGAGTTGACCGAAACGGTACTTCGAAACGAAATTTTGATCCTTGGTTCTAAGTGTCAAGGAGCTTTTGTGCAAGATAGGCAAATCCTTGATGTTGCTCTGGTTGCAACGAGGTTATGGAGGACTATAAGAAGGTTTTGTTCAATTGATTTTGAAAAGGCCTATGATCATTGAATTGCACCTTTTTGGATAATGATTTGCAGCTGAAAAGATTTAGAGTTAGATGGGGGATAGCGTTGGATATTGGGATTTTTACATTCTATGAACTTCTCCATTATACTTAATGCGAAGTCTAGGGAGTAAATTTAAAACTTCTAGAGAACTAAGCAATAGTGATTCCGTATCTCCTTTTCTCTTTACTTGAGCAAGTTAATGAGAAGGGTTGAGAAGTGTAATCTTATGGAAAGTTTATTGTGGGGAGGGATAGGATAGTGGTTTCACATTTATAGTTTGTTGATGATACAATATTCTTTTCTACAGAGATGAGGAAAAAATTCTTAACTTTAAGAATATTGTGGAGGTGATCAGCATTGTGTCAAAATTAAAGGTGAATATGAATAACGGTTTACTTGTGGGCATAAATTCACATCAAACCTTTGAAACACTTAGGCTTACCCTTGGATGGGAATCCACTGTAATTATCTTTTTGGGATCCAGTTATTGAGAGAATGAAAAAGAGATTAGATGGCTGGAAGAGAGCTTTATTTCTAAAAAGGGTAGGTCAACTTTAGTGCAATTAATCTTAAGCTAGTATTCCCACATATTACCTATCTTTATTTAAGACGACCGGAAAAATTTTAATGAAGATTGAAAAATTGACGAGGGATTTCAAGTGGTAAGGAAGTGGTGATAAAAGGAAGGATCTTTTAATTAGATCACATAGTTTCCAGATCTATGGCTAAAGGAGGCCTTTCATCTAGTAATTTGAAGCTAAGAAATATTACTTTAGTGGGTAAGTGACTTTGGAGGCTTCCTTTGAAACAAAATTCTATGGCATTACTGATCAAGGGTAAATATGTTTTATATGTCAATGTATAGAACACTAATAGAGTTCATCGGCAAAATTTTCCAATGCCCGTGGAAATTCATATCTTAGTATTTGAAGAAGTTTTACCAAAATCGTAAGTTTGTGGAGGGTAATGGAGGTAAGAGTTCATTTTTTGGAGAATGTTTGGATGGGGGAGTCATCTTTGTCCAACTTGTTTCCACGTCTCCATCATTTATCTTGCTATCATGGTGCTTCCATTGGCTTCAGTCTAATAGTCCTCCGCATTCTTAGAAATTTTGGACTTAGAAGGAATGTTGACAACAAAGACATGGGGGATTTGTTATTGTTTGCTATCCTTAACAACTCCTGTTGACTCAATACAAAAAGTTGGGTTATTAAGTCCTATCATATTTCTATTTGTACAATTAAGTCCTACTTTTAATAATTTATTCCCATGAAGTCTTAAAATTCGTAAATGACATGTATTGTTCCAATTCTATCCTTCTTATAAAACGCAATTACATTTTTTCCTCTAATTTATTAACCAATTCATTTTTACTTTATTTGTCCTTTTCAAGAAATATTAACTATTACCTCTTATTTTATAACAAATAATATTTAAAATCTCTAAAAATTTGTATTTTTTTGGTATATTTACAACACACCATTAAGCAAATGAAAATCAAGGAATTGACAACAGTTCAAAAAAAATACACATATTGAACCACATATGAAGTTTTTTAGTTTTTAGTTTTTATTAAAACTATTTTTGCAAGAGTTTAAAAGTTCAATTTATTTATAGTACAACTCTTCGCAATTAAGTTTGGATCAATATTTGCTCTATAGTCTATGCAATGATTCAATATTTTACTATCTAGAGATGCAAAAAATAATAATAATAATAATAATAATAAAGTAAAATTGAATTAATTATAACATTATAGGTGAAAAAGTAATTGCGTCTTCATTGGATGGATAAAATTGGAACTAAACATGTCATTTATGAAGTAGAACTTCATGGGAACAAAATTAGCAAAAATAAAACTTAATGGTACAAACAAAAATATGATAGAATTTAATAGTTTTTTATACGAAAAAGTATGACTTGTTGGAAATTTTTCCGTCATTCTTTGATTCTCTTGTTATTGATTCTACTTGTCGTCTTTTTATCCCTGCTATGATTATTTGAAAGAATAAAGTGTCTATTAAATTGCAAGTTTTTGCATGTACTGTTGCACATGGTGAAATTAATACCACTTATATGCTTCAAAAAATGAGTCCTTATAATTGCCTTTCCCTCAGTGATGTGTGATGTGTGATGTGCGATGTGCAAAAGGTGATTATAAAAGTGATGTGCGATGTGCAAAAGGTGATTATAAAAGTATTGATCATTTATTTTTACTTGGCATTGCATTGTCATTGTGGTATTAGTTGTTTAGCTCGGTAGGCTTGAAATAAATGATTACAGCATTGTTCGCATCCTCTTTTATTAAAGATTTGAAAGGTCTTGAACGTTTTGATAAAGTAGTGACTCTTTGAAATTGCACTATTATTGCTACTTTTTAGGTTATTTGACAGGAAATAAATGCAAGAATCTTCAAAAATTAAAACGAGTGTTTGAACGGTTTATAAGGTCATTTTCATTGCACAACATCATTATGGGCTTCAGTTACTAAAGAACTAGAGCTGTCAAAATCCGACACGACACGATTAATCAATACAAATTAAGTGGGTTTGGGTGAGATCTTAACGGGTTTGGATAATAAACGGGTTGACACGCCAAACACGTTTAATAAACGGGTCGTGTTCGGGTGATACCTATCAAACCGTTTATCACACGTTTACCCGTTTAAATAAAATTAATATAATAATAAATGAATAATTATTTTAAAAAATTAGCAATAAAAAAAGAAGTAAAGAAATCAATAAAAAAAAAAGTAAAGTAGTAGTTCAAAGACAAAGGAGAGGAGATGGGGAGCACTTCAAAGACAAAGGCAAACCAATGTCTTTTGTTTTGTCCCGCATTGGAAAATGAGGAGAGATGGGAAGGGCTAAGTTGCCTATAAAAAATAATGACCTCTTACTTTTTTGTTTTAAACCTTCAAATCTTATTTTTATGAGATTTGGCTAAAAATTGAGGTAAGTGCAATTGGCAATAAAAAAAAGTTGAGTATTAAAATTTGTTAATATAATTTTTTTAAAATTAAACGGGTTAAACGAGTGGTGTCATGTTGCCCGTTTATTAAACGGGTCGTGTTCGTGTTGAGAATTTTTTACCTGTTTATTAAACGTGTCGTATACGGGTTTATATATTTTTCACCCGTCACCCATTTAACCCGACACGTTTGACACCCCTATAAAGAACTTAAAGGAATTCCATTTTTCGTTATTTTGCGAGATGGAGAGCTCCCATGTGATTTATAGGATTCATATATATTTAATTGTTTTGATGTGCTTTTCTTTTTCTTTTTGTTGGTTGGATTTATTATCCAACCATTTTGATGTACTATTCGATTTTCATAAATAAAATTTCCCAGTTCCTATCAACAAAATAAATGTAATAGACTAGCTAACAAGGATGGCAGGTACACAGAGCTGATTTTTAAAAAAAAAATTATATTATCAATAACCCAACATGTCCAAGTCATATAGAATTTTCAAGTTACATAAACATAAATCCCAAAACAAAATGGCTAGAGTACGATTAGTGAGGTCAAACAATCAATCTGAGATTGATTTGCAATTAAAACGAACTAATGGAAAACAATCGAAGCAAAATTAATTACCACTGCTGCGAAGAAACAACCGTGTTTCACCGTCATAAAGTGTGCCTTTCGCTCGATTATAAGCAAAGAAAGCCTCACACAAATCATCTTGACCCTGTTTTCACTCAAGAACTAATAATGTCAATACAGTGTTACATGTTCTCTCTGTAAATTGTCAACAGGCATCACCAGAATTGTTATGTTAAAGATTATAAAGGAAGTTGGGCGTCACTAGCATAATCACCTTAGTGCAAAAGAAACAGCTACCGCAAGGCATTATAAAAGCTCCAACAACATGAGCTCCAACAGGAAACCTGAGGAAACAATACAAACAAATCCCATCATCCTATGTTGAGAACTACACGACAAATTATGATCATATATGAATTTGAATTTTCTCAACTTCAATTTTGGTCAATTTCGGCCAACTTTAATGATACCATTAAATTCATTGGGTCCCACTACGTGTCAATAAAATTCATAAGAACACTTAGTAGGACCGAACAAGTTCAATGGAAGATAACTGATCTTCACAGAAATTAACAAAATTTGAAATTGAGAAGACCCGGATCCGTTATCCATAGATATATTTTGAGAGAAACCAAGTATATAAACCTTTCAATGGTTCTGCTGTCAGTGAGTGGCCCATGTTCAACCACCTCACCAGTGATCTCATGCCCCACGACACAAGGACTAGCAAATGGAAGTTCACCTTTCATTACATGAAGGTCAGAGTGGCAAACCCCACAGGCTGCATAGTTCAAAGGATCAGTAATGGATTTGTATTATCCCAATTTCAATTAAATTAAACCCCTGATCCAGTATAACATGACCCTTAGATACCATCCATGGTGACTATAGTCCTCCTCCCATGAAGGGGGCAGAAATCGTTTTCCACATCCCCACAAAAAAACTAGATGGGCGACTCCTTTATTTCATCAGCTTGAGGCATGGCTCTTCTGGGGCCACTTTAACTAGCACCATCAGCAGAGCCATCAATCATGCCACGGGTCCACAAACAATAATAGGTTGTCAATTCAAAGTGGCCATTGAATCGAAGAGGAAAAAGACTTCACCCACAAACAAATTTCAGTGCTCAGAGTCTTATAAATGGTCGTACTATTATTGTCCGATAGCGTAGTTGCTAGTTCTCAGAATGCGCTTGACTGTCTTCTCCAGAAGCTAAAGACGAGGTCCGCGGATTCGATTTCGGATCTGATCCTCTCAAAAATTTAATTTTTGCCACTTTTGGTCAAACTCAATTATCCACCTATGAATCCATGCGGCTCCATAACGGAACCTGTGATGACTGAAATTGATAAATTTGAAACTGAGAGGATCCGAATCCGAGTTGGGTCATTGAGAAAAGTCTTCTACAGAGACAACAGCAAAGTAAACTCATCCTAGCTTCAACATCATACTTTTGAGTGAGTGTGTGTGTGTGTGTTTTGGGATACATGTAACGAAGAGAAAGAGTGAAGATTGAAGTTCAAATATTACCCTTGGTTTTGATGAGAACTTCACCGGCTTTGGGGCGAGGCATGTGGAAATCCTCGAAAGTTAGAGGCTTATTTGGTTCCCAAAACACAGCTCCGCGCATATAAGAAGGCCCACCGCTCAAGTGATACGATGCCGACGATATTGACGACGACGACGACTCACCTGACTTTGAAGAGACATTGCCATCGCCATGACAGAGCGATCTCCTCCAGTTGCAAAACCAACCAGAAGACGAAAAATTGGAAGAATCGAAAGGTCTGGAATTGTGTGAGAAAGCTGAAGAGGAGGCAGACTTTGAGAATTTGGTGCTGTTCGTAGCGCTGCGGATCAGAAGGGAGCGATAGAATCCCATGATGACTGGTTTTCTCTATCCCTCAGGTTTGACTAATGGGAGCTGAAATGAAGGCTGATAGATACAATTGAATTTGACTATATCATTTCTATATGGACCCACTGTACATCAATTATCCCCAAGAGGTCATTTAGCCTTTAAACGATATAATTTGTGTCAATTAAGTCTTTTAATTTTGATTTGTGTTAATTTAGCCCCTAAACTTATTAATTTGTGTCAATCAAGCCCATCAATCCAATTCAGCCATTTACTGTGACGAACAGACGCACACATGGCTCATGTGAGGTAAGTTCCAGGGGTAATTAAGGAAAAAAGAAGTATTTTGGCTCCAAATATTCCATAACTTCCCTCATTTACATCATCTGCCAATCACGTGGCCAACAACACAAAGCATAATGTGTTTTGTGTTGGGTTTTCAAAAATTGAGCAAAGAGAGAGTAATGTTCAGTAAGGGAAAAGAGGGGAATATGGAGAATCTTAGTGACAAATTTTTGGATGTGCTTTGTAATTGTGGAAAGAGGACCGTAAAGAAGACGTCTTGAACAAATCAGAATCTCGGAAGAAGGTTTTTGACATGTCCAAACATGGTTGTAGGTATCTAACTCGCGTGGAGAATTTCTTTTTTTCTTCTCTTCCCTTAATGCTTATTATCTGCATCTTTTAATGTTGTAAAATGGTGGGTGCGGTTTTTTCATTTGGCAAGACCCGCCAATGTGCGTGCATACATGACGAATGATTCCAGGACTTCTTCGAAGATTCAGTACTGTAGAGGCTCAACAGGGGAAGGTTAAGGCAACAGAGAAGATGTTATGGATAGCATTAGGAGTTTGTTGTCTCATAATTTGACTGTTGTTAAACACAAATGCAGAAAAATCAAAGAACGATGTTTATAGTTGCAATTGATGATCCTTGCCATCTGATCATCATGTTTAATGTTGTACTTAATGTAAGGTTTTTTTCTAATGAATGAAAATGTCTTTTGGTACTGAATGATAAGTATTTTTTCGTACTGATTCCACAGCATTCGAAAACACCATCTAATGTTGCCTCATGCTTTAAGTATATCTTAATCACTCTATATGTTGGTATCCATTCCATCATTGAACAAATGTCTCTATCATTTTCCAAAACCCTCAACCCACTGATGATGTCCATTGCAAGAACTCTATACCAACATGCCCTTACATCACACACACCCAATCTCTTTGGTCATACAATGAATCTCTGGAATCAAAATTTTATCAAGATCAACCCAGTCAATGTACACAGTAGAACCGCCCACATATTACTTATATGGTATGCTTATAAACTCACCCCCATTGTGTACTTCAATGCTAAATAAAGTAGAGTCTATGGCTAAAACCATGTAAAATTAAAGTAAAAATCACATAAAACAAATGGAATACAACACTTTATAGATACCTCTTTTATTGGGACTACTCACAAAAATATTTTCTAAAGCACAAAAAATCAAACTTCTGGGACCACGTACATCAACATATTGTACAAGACAAAAAATAAAAGGTAGATCTTTCAACACCAATAGAAAATTGAAACCCAAAAATTAAATAATATAATATTTTTCTTGCTTTAAACACTTAGAAAAACTTAGAATCATGACTTACAATATATTTGATCTAGATTCAAAAGCTAATCTATAGGTCACAACACCCAAGCCATTATACTAGTAACCACACTCAATTGAAGTAGCAGATTAATCAAAGAAACCAAAGTCTTTACGATTTTTGTGAATAGTTGAGGGAATCAGATGGAGGAAAGAGAATAGACGAACAATTGAGGCAAAATACTTCTTTTCCCCTTAATTACTCCTGGAATTTGCCTCACGTGAGCCAAGCATGCATTTGTCCGTCACAGTAAACAACTGAATTGTATGGAAAGGCTTGATTGACACAAATTGACAAGTTGAGAGGCTAAATTGACACAAACTAAATTGAGGGGCTTAATTAACGCAAACTGTATAGTTTAAGGGCTAAATAAATAGTTAACTGTATATTAAATCAAGAGACTCTAATTAATTATAATTTTATCTTTGAAAATCGGACCTTAACTATTAAAAATCATAACTTTTGTTATAATTCCATTTTCTTTTGATACTGTTATCCTTAAATTAGAGCAATTATTTTGACATAATTTAATAATGTAATTATTGAATTTAGATTCAAATAATTAAATGGAGCCTATTACGAACTCAATAATTACAATATATATTTGGTTTTAAAATTACACAAAAATAGCATTATTGTATTAAGTAGGACTTCTACTTTTCCTTCTTCCGGTGCTAAAGGTGTGTTTGTTAACACAAATTCAGCACTTAAAATGAATGTATTCGGCATTTATTAATTAAGTTTGTCTGATAACTAAAATTTTAATATCTTAATATATTAAGTACTCCTTAAAAATAGACTACAATATTAAGTAGGAGACATTTACTTAATTATAAAAGTTGAAAGCGATCAGCAGAACCATCTTTAATAATATTTACAATATTACAACTCTATCCCAGAATTTCACAATCCAAAACCCTCTAACCTATCTATCATCCTTGTCGTCTTGATTGTCTTCTTCAACAAGCGACACAAGTAAGTCTTTTTCTTTAGAGTAATTCTACATGAACTTAAAAATTAGACTTGATAATTACAACCATTGATTTTATTGTGGATCTCAGTATTTATTAAGACCTACTACCAATTAAATTATTTGAATTATCAAGTTTAATTTTTAAGTCTACCTAGCATTACTCTTTTCTTTATCTTCTTCTCTTGTCTTTTGCAACACACATAATTACACACATATACATTTACACACACACACACACACACTACATATACTTTATGCACACACAAACACAATCACACACCCACACACATATAGACAAATATTTTTTTCAATTTGTTGTTAATGAAATCTAATTTATTCTATTTTTTAATATTTTTTTATTATTTATTAGTTATTGTTCACTTATTGTGTTGTTCAATTTGTTATTATTCTATTAAATAAAAACATATTTTATAAATATTTTCAAAGTAAAGAGTAGAAGGTAATCTGAAAATTATTTTATTTTCAAACGTCAACTATGTGTAGTTATCAAACAGTTTGGTTTAATTCAGTACTTAAATTTCAGTGGGTATCAAATAATCTATAAATTCAATATTCAGCTTTCAATTTTTAGACTTTAGCTTTTAGTTTTATCAAACACTACCAAAGTGTCACTTCAGAAGATCTAAATCCGATTATATTGTATTTATCATGCCCAAAGTTTATCTATGACATTTATTACCTATATCCATTTATGATCATGATAAATTGTAAATAATTATATATAGAAAAAATCGTCTCTTATATGATAAAATTTGTGCCAACCTCTAATGAATCATTTTGAATATGATGCAATATAAGGTGATACTTGATAAAATTGAAAGCTAAAATTTAAAAATTAAATGCTAAATTTTAAGTGCTGAATGCGGAATCATTAATTCATAAACTGTTTTTAACTCACTACAATTTAAGTACTGAATTGAATCAAACTGTTTGGTAGCTACATAGAGCTGACGTCTAAAACTAAATAACTTTTCAGTTTACCCTTTACTTTAAAAATATTTAGAAAATGTGCATTTATTAAATAAAAAATCATGATATGCCACTACAACTAATTCATAACATAAATCATAATAATTATTATCATATTGTACTATGCATTTAACAAACATGATAATAAAATTAATTCAAGTTAAATTGATCACTTAAAGCTGTCAATTGTAATAAGATTTAAAAATTACAAATCGAATACAAATCATGGGTGTAATTGCCTTGCAATTTGCTCATGCAAATTGAGCAAAAAAATTTGATCAGCTTTTATCCTTCCTCATCCAGCTTCCAAGCTAGTTAAACCTGGTAAATTTTGATGGGGATTACCACAAGCAACATTCACATCTCTAAATTGGTCCAAAAATGCATATGTGATATAGGTTCATCGAATAAAATTGTGTATGCTTACAGAAGCAATTGCAATATTTCTTTGTACAATAAAAATAAATGATGCTATCTTTTTTATTATCAGAAAACGAGCTTTCAATACCCCAAAAATACGTTCAATCACATCTCTTAAATTAGCATATCCTTGATTGAATAATTCTTCTTTCGTTCTTGGACAAACATTTTGAAAATCAGACAACTAATGCCGCACATTATGATAAGGTGATATAAATCCATGAGTACGTATATATGTCGCATCGCATAAAAAGTACTTATCTGTATGACAAATATAAAATAAATTATACAAATAAATATTTTGTAAAATTAATTAAAATAATTAGAAAAGAATTGAACAATAGCAAATTTAAAAAATATAAAATAATTGAACAAATAAAATGTTAACCAATAACAAAGAAAGAATAGAATAATAACAAATCGTATAACACGATAAGTGAACAATAACTAATAAATATTCAAAAAATATAAAAATTATTAACAATAAATTGAAAGATATATTTGTATATGTATGTGTGTGATTGTGAGTGTCTGTGTGTGCGTGTGTGCAGTTCGTATATGTGTATGTACAGTGTGCGTGTGTTCTAGATCTCTATGTGATTTTGTGTGTGTTTAATTCTATTTGTGTGTGTGTGTGTTTAATTCTATGCATGCCTAACATTTTGTTTAATTTTAAGTGTGTACGCTCTAAATATATGGGTTGCTCTTTGTGTATATTAATCTACTTGTATGTGATGTGTTAATTTGTGAATTTGTTTGTGTTAATCTGTGTGTTGTTGCATCAAGAAGAAAATAGGAAGAAGAAAGGAAGAATAGACTTGTTGCGGTTTGGAGGCGATGAAGGAGAAGCGTGAGATTTGGGAGAAGAAGCAAAGGGGATGAAGTAGATATACGTTAGAATTTTGATAGGGGTGTGAAATTATTGGGGCAAATTTGTCAAATAATTTTTTATTAAAAAACCTACTTGTTTAACGCTTTCTGCCTTCAATATT